TTGAAAAGTAAAAGAAAAATTCTTTCATTATTTTACAATCCCTCTCCCCAGGTCCATTCCACTATGCAGCCTTCATTCTGGACTCCTGTCATGACAAAAATACCTAATCACATATCCCTTTTAAACGGTTTTCTCCCTCATCTGTTTCAATGCAGTATACATTACTTATCCCATCTTTCTTACTCTCCCCCCAACCCCTATGTTAGTTCTGTTTTACAATAAAGGCATCATGCAGTATATGTCCTTTTGTGACTGAGATAATTCACTAGTCTACCCCCAACACTGATGTTAGTCCTGTTTTACAACAGTAGCACCATGCAGTATTTGTTCTTTTATGGCTGAGATATTTCACTCAGCATCATGTCCTCCAGGGTCACCCATTTTGAATAATGTTGCATGAGTTCCTTGTTTTTCAATGCAGAGTAGTATTCTGTTGTGTGACTATACCACAGCTTCTCTAGCCATTCGTTTGTTGGTGGGCATTTAGGTTGTTTCCAATTCCTTGCTATTGTGAACAAAGCTGTGATAAACATATGTGTGCATATGTCTGCCTTGGTGACAGTTATGGTCTCTTTGGGGTATATTCCCAGTAGTGGAATTGCTGGGTCGAATGATGTCTCTATTTGCAACTCTTTGAGAAAGTGCCATACTGCTTTCCACACTGGTTGCACCATTTTACACTTCTGCCAACAGTGAATAAGGGTTCCAGTCTCTCCACAACCTCGCCAGCATTTGTTGCTTGCTGTTCTGTTAAATTTTGCTATTCTTACAGGGGTGAGATGATACCGCATAGTTATTTTTAAAATACTAACTTTACTAAAGGAATAAGAAGAAAGTGGTGGTTTTCTAGTCTTTCCAACCCAGACACTGATGCTGAGCCATAAATCTGTTAGCAAATTTCTAAATCAACTTCTTGCACTTTCAGGTCAAGAAAATCAACTTGTAGCATTGATTCCCTATAGTGATCAGAGATTGAGACCAAGAAGAACGTAAGTTATTTTATGGAAATGGTCTTTTGGCTTCGGCTTTTTTATTCACCCTTCTTTGTTGTTTGTTTTATGTGTATGTGCATGTATTTTCAGTATGTGTAAATAATTGCTCTTAAAACTACCAAAAAAGAAAATAACAGGTTACAAAATGATGTGTCACCCTGGTGATGCAGTGAATGAGCACTTGACTGCTAAGCATAAGGTTAATGATTCAACCTCCTAGCCACTGTGAGACTCGGAAAAAGATTTGGCAGCCTTGGGAATTCTGTGAGGCATTTATTCTCTGTCCTATAGGGTTGCTATGAGTTGAAATAGAATCAGATCCCTAGTGGGAGGAAGACCTGAAGCACTTGCTGCAGAAGTCAAAGGCTGCAGCTTTCAATATGGATTACATGTCAACATCAAGAAAACAACAATTCTCACCACTAGACCAATGGACAACATCATGATAGATGGAGAAAAGATTGAAATTGTCATCAATTTCATCTTACTTGGATCCACAGTCAACACGCTCGATTCCAGGAGTTGGAAGATGCATTGCATTGGGAAAGGTTACAGTCAGGGGCCTCTCTAATTTGTTGAGGAGCGGTGATGTCAAGTTGAAGACTGAAGTGTGCCTGATTCAAGCCATGGCCAGATGGGTTGACACAGTGACTACAGCAGTGGGCTCAAGTATGTCAGAAATCCTGATGACGGCACAAAATAGGACAGAGTTCAGATCTGTCATTCATAAGGTCTCTCTGAGTTGTAGTTCACTCTATGGCATCTAATGATAACAGTAGAGTTAAGGTTATGATTGCAGCATAATAGATGAACTTCTCAAATCTGTTATTAAAGTCAGTCTTCTTGTTGTTATGTGCCATCAAGTCACTTGCGACTCATAGCAACCCTATGTACAACAGCCCTAAACTCTGCTCTGTCCTGTGCCAATCACACTGTCTC